AAATGAAATATTTAAAAAATTATTTAAAACCATTGCACCTATTATATTTAAACATTGAGTCATTAGTAAATTTTTGAAAAATTAAAAACAAAAATTCAATACGCCAAAAAATATAAAAATATATAAAAAATATATAATATACACTGTTACAGTATCTCCTAATTACCACACTTCTATAAACTAAATTCTCAAATATACTAATAACAAATCTTTTTTTGACCACCAATATATCTATCTCTTTAGTTACGACAGTTACCACTATACCTACAGATGTCATTGCATCAAACTTACCTAAATCATCATCCCGCACACTAGAAGCTGTTAAAAACATTACTTCCTCCCCTGCACATCACAATATTCAATCACTAAGTCTAAATAATAATCTAAATATGCCTACCACTACATCTACTATTAGTGTTACATCTTCCAGTAAAATATTAGATCCTAAAACAAAAAGGTTGTCAAAGCATCCTATATCTCCTCATAGTATAACTATACCAAACTATCATCCATCAACATTATCCGCTTTATCACCTCGACCCTCTATCCAACCCTTTATGGCTTCCTCATTGATTTCCTTAACTCCAAAAATATTTACTACGCTTCCTGATGTGTCCCAACTTATAAATCTATATCCACGTGCAATCCCTTGTGGTTTCACTAATCTAACTACCATAACTGTGCCTTTAGAGGCTCAAATTCTCCTAAGTTTTGGTCCTAACTATTGCCCTGTAGCACCTCCTACAATTACCGACTATTTTGTGGCATTAAATCAGTATCACGATACCTACCTAGAATCCCATATCGACTTAGGTATGTATTGTCGATCCGAGCTAGAGGAACATCACAAGTTCCTACAGGTAATGGAGAACCATCGTACTCAAACTCCTTTTCATAAGATGTTGGTTCATCTATTCCAGATAACTAAACAATTCTTAGATATAAATCCTAATTTATTACTAGTCCAATCTGACAAATGTAAATCAACAATATTAATATATAAAGATGAGTACATGGAAAAGATCAATAATTGGCTAACAAACTATATCGCTAGTGGATCTTGTATATTATATCTAGGCAACACTGATATCCTTGGGCGCCAAATACGGGGTTTATTTCGCCGAGTTGCTCGTCCATTGTGTGCACTATACGTACGTAACAGGACTTTATTCCCAAATCCTATTTATGTGTCTCTTAGAAAACTCTTAAATGAGACACCTACCATGCCTTATCTTTATGGGACTATAAAAACCCATAAAAACGATAACCCAATCCGTCCGATTTGTAGTCCGCTCCATTGGTACACCTCTCCACTCCACACTCTATGCCAATATTTCCTTAATCCAATATTGAAAGATAGACTATCCTGCCATAATATAAGTAATCTAGATCATCTAACTGACCATCTATTGCAATTACGTCCTTTACCTTAAATCTTTCACTTAAAGATGAAATCGAGAGATCCATCTTACTTCGGTTTGTTAAGTCAACTAAATTATCTGATAGAGTTAAAAACAAACTCATTTTAGAAGAAGAAGACGACACAATACCAAAATTTATTCAAAAGCTGAAAAATATCTATAAACCTAATCAAAATCCATTAACAGTCCAGAATAATTTAGCACGTTTGCGACTAGGTACCCAAACTGTTGCACATTTTGTTTCTAAAATTGAGGAACAAATAGCAATTTTAAACCAAATATATATAGCTACTCAGGGTGACCAAAATAAACAAGTAATAATGAAAATGACAGATCTCACAGGATTAAATGCATTCACCAATGGACTCAACGAGAGACTTAGGAATATAGTAGCAGCAGCAAGGCCAACTACTCTAAACGAAGCTGTACAAATTGCTCTAAGTGTAGAAACACAAAATAGAAGCATGATACAACAGCAACCAAACAGGAATTTTCAACAAAGGAACGGATTCTCGAATAATTACAGAAATGCGAATGGAAATTTCAACAGGAATGCATCAAACCAATACAACAATTCCAATAATCAAAAAAACTGGAACACCACCGGTTAACGAACCCCGGGGCACAACCTAAAGCAATATCCAAATCACAACCTAGGTTACAGCCAAAACAATGGTTACAACAATCGAAACAATTACAACCAGAACAAAAACAAATAATACATTTTAAGACAATAGAAAACATTGATAATAGTATTAATGCTAAAACTTCTTCTAGCAATAAGTATATAACTTTATTAGTAGACACAGGGGCAGAGATATCAGTAATAAAAAAAGGTATAATAGGGAAGAGCAATTTTGATAACACAAAAAACTGCCAAATAAATGGCATAACAACAGGAAAAACAACCACAGAAGGTTTAATAGATATAAATTTATTTTTTGATGGTAAAACAATACCTCACAAATTCAATGTCATAAAAAATAATATAAATTTACCTACAGATGGTATATTAGGTAGAGATTTTTTGATAAAACATAATTGTAAAATAAATTATGAAACATGCGTATTAGTGATCTCAAACTCAGAAGATGGGATAGTCTTACCCTTGAACATAAAAATAAAATCCATTAAAAATATCAAAATACCGCCCAGGGTAGAAGTAATTCAAGTAGTTGAACTAAATACAAAAGAAGACAGTTTAGTCTGTGGAAAAGAAATAGTGAAAGGAGTATTCATAGCTAATTCATTAATACCTGCCAAAGGTATACAACATATTAGGTTATTAAATACTAGAGATACACCTATAGAATTAGAATATGCAACAATAGAAATAAAACCTTTAAATAATTATAACATACTTTCATATAATTCTAATCGAAATTCATATACATTTGAAAAAATTAAATCGAAATTAAAAATTGATGGTTTAGATAACATAACCAAAAATTCAATATTGAATATTTGCAAAGATTTCCAAAACATTTTTCAAATAGAAGGAGAGAAATTAACTATAAACAATTTTTATGAACAGCATATATCAACAATAGATAAAACACCTATATATAAGTTAACTCCCGCGTACCCAAAATCCGGCCCTGTGCTTAGTTTCATTAACGGAGCAATCATGCGATGTTGTTCGAACGCATGGTTGCTACCAAACGGGATTTCCATTTGTTTGTCTGGAAAAGTCCCGTTTGGCTTCGGTATCTCCCAACTTCGCGGAAGTGCGCTCGAGCTCTCTTGCTTAAGCCACCGGACGAGTAACATGAAAATGTTGCTGGGATAAAAAATGTGACTTTAAAAATTAATATCACTTTTAACTGGCGCCCGAGCATAAAGAAACCGCGTGTGCTGAGCATAAAGAAACCGCGTGTGCTTGAAATTATTTATAATATTAAAATTAAATTAAAAGTTTAATTGAAATTTCTAAAACTCTAAAACTCTAAAATTTTAAACTTAAAATTTATTAAGAGCATAAAGAAACCGCGTGTGAAATTATTTATAATATTAAAATTAAATTAAAAGTTTAATTGAAATTTCTAAAACTCTAAAATTTTAAACTAAAAAACTTAAAATTTATTAAAGTGGAATAAAACATTAGAATACCACTG